AAACAAGTCAAGCGACAGACGCTTCGCTAGAGTCCTTAAGATGAACCTGGATTTCCTAAATCATGAGGTATGCGAAATCGTGACTTTGTTGGCCCTCTGTTCCCTTCCATGTGGTAAATTACATCCCTCTCATCGATATGTTCAATCTGGTCAGCTACAAAGATTTTGGTTTGCAATGTGCTTTACAGACAGATACGAAATAACATACCGAATTCGGCCTGCAATACGTGTTCCAGTTGAGGCCAAAGTTGTGCGAGTGCAAAAGACGCATAAAAGTGAACGTCGTAGGTATTGACCATTCTGTACTCCCAAGCTAAAAATGAATATTAAATTTTTATCCTGAGACATTTCCTTAGGATGATCTGCTATGGGTTGAAAACAAACTTCTAGAAAGAAAATCAAAACATTTGCAAAGCTGTTCACATTCAAGGTATCCAAAACGGCCGATTTCTCTCATCAAAGAAACGCTGTAATCAGACAAGTGTAATTCTTCTTTTCTCCAATTTTCATCATATTCGAACCATACGGAACCGCCATCAGTCATAAAATAAAGTTCATTGAATAAGGCTGACTTATACCAATCGGGAAGATGTCTAAAAATAAAGAAATTACACAAATAAAAACAGGAAAAACTGACCTTCGATGAAACCAGAGAAAATAATTACGGATGACTCAGAATTGGTAGCTGCCACTCTTCGATTTTTTTCTCCCATAGGTAATGACTGTTCAAACCGTGCGAACAGAGAGCAGAAATTGCTTTACCGTCTGATCCAAAAAAACGTGTATATCGCCTGTACGAACGTTCCAGTAATCTCTTACGAAAACTAATAGGAAAAATACTACAAATTCTGCAATGCAGTAACCTTTTGTAATTACGCTTACAATCTCCAAAATGAACGACTGGCATATCCCATGCAAGAACAAATTCCATACAATTAGAGACTTTGGACGCTGATTTAACTGCACGTTGCACGGAAACTGCTACACCTAATTCTTTTGAATTTTCCACATTTTCTTCTGGAAAAAAAAAAAAACAGAAAAATTAATTTTACAAATAAAAAACTCCAATGACCTGACTATATAAAATACTGCTAACAAACCATCTAAGTCGCCTAAGCATCCATTCTCATAAAGTGCTGACCATATTTCTTCTCCATTCCCCGAAGGTTTGAAAACTTTGCAGCGTGTAACCTTCACACCTTCTGTACAAGCAGCTAGGCCAAAAGAGCAAGGCATTCCACTAATTGTGTGTTGCAGCGAGACTCCTTTCACTAGAATGAAAAAATCGTAAGTTATTTATCTCGCAAAATAAACGGTGAAAAAAGTAAGACGATAATCTGTTTTTCATATGGTTCTTATCAAAGTTTAAATTTAAACTAGCAGAGCATACCAGAAAATCAAATCACATACTTTCCCTTGATGACTCTTGATTTTCAAAAAAAGAAGACTTGCACTGTCCCTCTTGCGACCACCTATGATGGCCTGTACCGTTACGGAAAGTAAAAGAGATGCTGACTTCATAATCACACTCTGATGAATTAATAACATCAAAAACAAAGGCAGTGATAG